ACACATTAGTATGTGTGTGTGTTGTCTTTACTTGGATGTGTTTCCTGGTTTTAAATGTCAGATTTCGGCTGTCATCCTCCGTGTTTTTTTGTTTTTCTTAGCACAGGAGGAAGTGAAGAGTGCTAGTTTATCACTGCCTTGTAGATGTTGAGCGATACGAGTCAGGCCACGTAATAAGACCAGACAGGTAGTCGGCCGCATGCCGCGTAAAAACCAGCTGAGTCAGGGTTCAGCAGGGGTCCAGGCGGGATTTGTACATGGAACGTTTCAGTTATCAGATTTCTTAACCTTAAAAATGAAAAAAAACGATGAATTATGCAGAGCCATGTCATAAAAATAATGTTGAATTTGAACTAAATTCAGTAAAACTGTTAGCTCAGTTATGTTTTTGTGCAGGTGGTTGAGTTGTAAAATTAAACTCAAAACCATTTGTTAGCATGAAGACGGCAGATTTAACATGGTAAAATCCATGGTGCATGAGGGAATCAACAGCAAAGCAAAGTGGTTTATGTTACTTCACATTATATGCAAATTGTGTAAAAGAAACTAAAATAGAAAGACGACATGGAATTAATTTCTAAGACTCAGATAATGTTTTGTTTCTGCATTTTCCACAATGATCCACAGAATGTTTTCTTCATGATAATCAGTTGGACTCGGTTTGATTAGAAACCAGAACTCCACCAGCTGCTGTGGCTTTGAGTCAAACCAGCCTGTTCCCCTCCTGGTCTGTGGGGCGCTGCACCCACAACCACTGCAGGAAACGACACTAAAACCTCTAAAGATGCTGAGAGCAACTTCCTGTTTCACCAGATGAAACAAGATGGAGGCGTCAGAGTTTAGTGATTTCTTCTTAGTCTTTGGCTGAAGACCAGGAGCCATTTCTGCTGCTAACGCTAGGCTAACACGTTAGCTTTGGTTGGATTTACCCAGAATGCCCTGCACTTCCTGCTTTGTTCTGCTTGCTGTTCACATCAGCGTTCAGAGTTCGCTTCAACCAAACCGCAACTGATTTTTCTAGGTGCGCCTGCCTTTGCTCTTTTGTCCACATCAGTCTGATTTCGGTTCACACCTTCACAAGCAAACCGGACTCAAGTTGGATTCAGTCGGACTAAACTGAGCTGGTGCACTGACAGAGGCATGTAAGGTTGCTTCTTTACTCTGGATTTTGAGAAGCTGCTACGATTCTGATGAAAAGTAATGTGAATTCATCAGCCCTACATTTTTGGAAAGCTAATATTTCTTTGAAAATGGAACAAGTGTTATAAAGCACCAAGTGATATAACAACAAACAGATGAAATAGTTGCATATTTAAGTATATTTTCTGTTGGGAATTTGCTGTTCCTTTCCATCTTTTGTTGGATTTGGAAAATCCACTTGGCATTTTTATCCACTCTTTGCAATTTGTAAAAATTTGGAAGACTGCGCGGAAATGGCAAAATTGAATTGCACGTCTGCAGTGCAGTTATTATGTTTGATCGATGTGGAAAAATGTTTCAAGCTGCAAATAAATCAAGTGATGGATGGAGAACGAAATGCACTTTTGAAGTAATTACCGACAGAGTTTCCATTGTTCCCCTCAGCCTTATTACGCAACAGTCTCTGTCCACCAGCAGAAAGCAGCCAGAAACGACATTTGTTGCCTCATGACTCCTCATCAGTTCCTCTGTGACAATAAAGATGCCAAGCGTGTTTCTTTGTTTGGGTCTTGTGTGGAACACAGACGTTAACTCACTCTGCAGAAGACAAACAAGTTAGAACAATCAAATCAGCTCCGGCAGATTTTTCTCCTTGATGTGTTTAGTGGAGGAAAGTGTTTCTGTTGTTACGTATCATTGTGTAAAATAAGCTCATTGTAACACAACCTCCCGTCTTGTCTCCGTCAGTCAGGGAGGGCGGCGGCTAAGTGTTTTGTCTGTAAGAAATGAGTTGGGAAAAGATGAACAAGGTGTGCAGGGGAGGCTGGCAGAAGGCAGAACATAAAACTGCAGGAGCTTGTAATAGAGTTTCCTAGACATTAATTAGCTGCAGCCATTCCTGTACAAACACACAGCAATAAAACTGATATACTGACGTCCCATTCTCTTTTCCTTCGCTGCTCGACTTGTTTCACATTACCCTGTTGTTTTTTCCCTCTTTCCATCTATTTTCTCACTACCTAATATACTTTAGATTTTATGTTTTCTCATCACTTACTGTCTCCTCTAGTCTTTATTTCATTTTCTTTCTCTCCACTGGAGAGCAAAATATGAAAGCAGCGGCATAAAGATGGATTGAGAAAAAAGAGATGAGGGAGTAGCCGGTCGCCCCGAGTCTTTATCTGTTCTGCTTGTTTTGCTGAAGGGGAAAGAAAAGATCTATTACAGTCTCGATTTTACGTCTAACATGAACTCAGACACAGAAAATCCTGCATTGGGGCAGCAACACTATCGGTGACGGGACTGTCGGCTGCAACAGGTTCTGCAGCTGAACACACACTCGCAGTCACACACTCCACTTCTCGCTCGGGTTTATTATTTTTTGTGTTGGCCTGGCCCTCAGCAGAGGCAGCCATGCTGCTTTTTACATTCAGACCTTTCATGCACCGTGACTCATCTTCCAGTTCTTACTGCACTTAAATCATCATCACTGATTCTGGTGGCTTTTCGGCCAAAGAACGGCTGGACGGACAGACGCTGTTATTCTGGTCCTGAACGTGACTCCAACAATCGACTGCTGAAAATGATGTTACAAAGGAAAGAAAGTGGATAAAAATCTGACATTTTGGGAGTATTTTCTGTAGATGATGGGAGCTGAAGTTGTTTTTGTTAAAAGTAATTGCATAATAGTGATAAATAAATATTTAAAAGTATTTTGGGTCTCAAATGCTTCCAAAAAAGCATCTAACTAATTCTTGTCAATAAGTTAAAAGTTACAAAAATTTCATAATTGTTACACCGTTACACATCACCGCTACCTAGCAACCCCAGCTGATCTCCAGCGTTTGGTCAGCGGGTTTTCCAGCTGTACAATGGCTGCTGGAAAACACAAAAGTTTAGTTGTTAACTCACCATCCAGAAACCACTGCTGCATTTTGGTTGGTTGTGCAGGAGGCTCCGCTAATGCTTGTTGTATAATTGTGCATCTCTTTGCAGCCATTTTCATGGGTGGGTGTAAACGTTGAGTTGGGGGCGTGGCCAGCAGCAGCTGATCTGGATTTAAAGTGACAGAGACCCTAAAACAGGCAGAAGTGATTATCTAGGAATGATGTAAAAAAAGTAATGAACATGTTTTGTTTAGGCCAATCTATCCTAACCTGCACCAGGAAGCATCATGACTCACCTTCGTAACACTGGAACATCTTTGTTGTTGCTGTCTTGTCTAATTTGTTCCAACCTCTTGATCTGACATCAAACTGAAGTTAAGTGGATGAACTGAAGTTAGAAATTCAGAGGACAGTTTGAAGAGGAACAACCAATCAAATGATAATGAGGAGCCGATAAACAGGGTCCTCAGTCATGGTGTTGTTGCTGCTTGTGTTTAGTGTGAGTGTTGGCGATGCCTTCTCTTCATGGCTGATGGTGTCGCTGCTGCAGAGGCTCAGTGTGTGAGAGCAGCCTCTGCCTGGCTCTCATAAACACCTGGTTTATTTCAGGAAACCTCCTACATGCAGGATTTAAATGCGTCTGAATTTACATCTGCTTTGTTTATGTTGACCTTTAAAGGTTTTTAGGTTAATGCCAACACTTTACTGCAATGATTGCCTTTAATTTCCTCCGTCCTTTTCCTCTCAGTTTGTCAGAGCCTGCTTCTCTTTTTGCTCCATTGGTGCACATAACTACATATTTATTAGTATTATCTCACAATTAACAGAAAACACAACCAACTCTCCAAAGATGGTTTTATTCATTATTGTATATTCATTGACTCACTTCTATGTTTCATGCAGCAAATGAAGGAAAAGACATTTTTGCTAGTTTGGTCCACTTTCCCTCAGCTAATGGTTCAAACTGCCCATATTTATCATTTTCAGATATTTCCATGAATTTTGAAATGAAGTTTCTGGATGGTGAGTCAGCAACAAAGCTCTGGTTTCCAGCAGCCATTATGCAGCAGGAAAACCAGCTGGTTGCTAGGTAACGGACCGGGTTCTTGAATGTGACGTTTTAAAAATAACAAATTTTCCAGTCACCAGAAAACATGAACTTATTGCCAAAAAAGTTCTTAGTTTGTCTGTAGGGTGAGAAACACATAAAACTGAACCTTTAAAGTGCCATCGGTGACTCCTGGTGATCTGGTGTTGAAGTCTTCCCATTGGTCTGTGGTTTGTATTTATAATGTTGGAAAGGTGAAATATGGATATAAATGTTGGTAGAACGTCAAAACTGTGAATGATATTCGAAAAACGAGCTAGTTGTTCCTGTTGGGCTTGCTGTTTTCAGTGGAGGTAACATCGGGAAGCAGGATGAAATGGATCATTCAGGCCCGTATCAAGTGTAAGTTTGAGCTGTCAGGAAGCTTCAGGCTCCATACGAAGCGTCCAGCTTACATGCTGCTGTCTGTTTCTGTTGGACTGACTGTTGCATTTGGACCCAGACGGAGAGTTCTGTCTGCTTACAGTTACGCTGTACACAGTTTTTGTTGATTTTGTTTCAAATGGAAAACAAAAACTCATCCAGATGGATTTCTTCTGGAGATACGAAGCTGTTTAAGGGAAACTCTGTATCATTCCAAGCTCTATGTGGAAAGCCTGGACTTTATCAGAGGAAAGAAGACAACAAGAAATTGCAACAGTTGGTTGTTTTGGTTAAAATAAATATTTTTTAGGGGCAGTTTTAAGTTAAACATGTCCAAATTTTGGGGTTATGAACTAAGAAATCTTTGTGTTTTCTCTTTTCCTGCTCATTACTGAAAGTAAAAAAGTGATTTAATGTCATCACCAAAGTAAAAAATTTTCTGCTCATGGATTTGTGTTTGTTGCGTCAGTTAGCAGCATTTCCCCGTCTCTCTCTCCCTCCAGGTGTTTCGGACAGACTTCATCACGGCCATGAAGCTGCCGGACTCGGCCCAGCTCGGCCCAGACGACTTCTACGTTCTGTCCGACCCGTGGAGACAGGAGTGGGAGAAGGGGGTTCAGGTCCCAGCCAACCTGGAGGCCATCCCAGAACCTGTGGTCAGGTAGGATTTTATCCATAGCAGAGTGTTTAGAGGGTTATTTACTCTGAAGTGACTGAAAAGCTTTAAACAGTTAAACCAACCAACCTGCCATGTGAGCAGCCTGTTCCCCTCCTGGCCTGTGGGGGCGCTGCAGGAAACAACACAAAAACCTCTGAAGACACTGAGCGCAACTTCTTTATTCACCAAATGGAAACAAGATGGAGGCATCAGATTTTGGCGGTTTAGTCTTTGGCTAAAGATGAGGAGCCATTTCTGCTACTAGCTCTAGGCTAGCACGTTAGGTTTGGTTGTATTTACCCAGAATGCCCTGCTCTGTAGTCCATTTCCCCCAAGCGGTCTCTGGTCCACTTGGCGTTCACATTCAAACCGAACCAGAGTTCACTTCCACCGAATCCAGACCGAGGTTTGGAGGACCTGAGGTCAGAGGTCGATTAAAAGCGGCTTCCTTTGTCTAATTTACTCGAGTGGAATCACCAAACACACAGAAATACTGCTGATCAGAACCACAACGTGTAATATTGTGATTGGTACACCAGGGGCAGTAGGGTTGGATTCACACACGCCGTGGATCAGGCAGATACAGATGTTAAGGTGGCTGGCAGATGTGCCAACCGCTTGGCAGAGGAAGGCAGAGGAAGGCAGATCTCCCAGCAGCTGCTCCACATACCCATGTGGTTTCATTCTGGCATTCGAGGAACTAATGAAAATGCTCAGACTAGCCAGTAATGCTTGTAGCACTGAGAGGCCACACACTCAGAGCTCTGGGAAGACAGACTACCTAATGAATTTCCCAGAGAGAATCAGCTGAAAGTTTAGTTATTTTTACAGCGTGGATGCATGCATGGATTGCAGCAGCATCTGTGAAACCTTTTCTACTGAGCACATTTCATGGCACTTACAGTTTGCAGCTGCAGGCAGTTTGACTTGGTTTTTCTCTGTGGGTTAGAAATGTAACAGTTTCTGCAGGTGAAAAAAATCAACTCTAAGTTGCTGATTATAGTGAATTTTAATGTTTTTACACCATTTTAAATGCTTGTTTTTCCTTTTAAGAATGATTTGTCTCATTTATGTCGGTGGCAAATGTTGCTGGGAGATTTATTGCAATAAACAATAATATTGTTTTGAGACTATTTCAAATGAAAATTTGTCTCTGACTTTATTTTGAAAGTATTCATAAATATTTCTGCAGGTTGTTTTGATATTCATCTAAAATAAGTAGGTGGAAAAATGAAAAACAAAAACAGAAACGTTTACTGCAGATTACAAATACTTAAAATGAGTTAATTTGGGGATTAGTTTGAGAAAACCTCTTTTGATGATCATCTGTTGTGTGAAAAATGATTCACTAATTGCTCTTTAAACCTTTTTTATTCATGTTTTCCTCATGAATTCAGCTAAATAAAACCAGTTGGGATCAATTGTTTTGTGATGGGCTGCTATCAACAGTGTCTATTTTATTACATTTTGTAATAAAATACAAGATGTTGAATAAACATCTTTTCTTCCATCTGTTTTGCTTAAATTGCATCCATGTTGTTCCACCGTCTGGAACAGAATAAATATGGAAATAGTTTTAGGATCTTACCGGTTTGGATGAAACTGGAAACAAAGTTTGGAGAAATATTTGTTCACTGGACGGCCGCCTATTTGTGGTTCACCTATTATTATTTATAAAACTCCAAATTATTCATAGAAAATCCTGGTTATGTTTTTCGTCTTCGCGTCCTTATGTCAAAGTGTTTATTTTTAAATTTACAAAGAGCGTAAAGTTTAGATTGCTAAAGTTGAAATGCCTGACCATCTGGGGTTGAAAGGTTAACACTCCTACATCTGGAGTTAGGATGCAGCTCCTCTGGCATCTGACTGTCGAAGAGGAGTAAATCTTTACCCGTGCAGACTGAGCTCTTGCATAGCGCAACATGAGATCAACTGGGGTTGTTCAGATGCTGAGGTACAGGACAATTCCACAGTGAGGAATTTTTTTGACCTTTCCAAAAACTTGGACTGAAACTGTTTCAATCTTCGGGTTCATTGAAATACGCCCGGTTCGTTTGGTGAGGTGTGAACACTAATCGACCTCTGACCTCTGGTCCTCCAAACCTCGGTCTGGTTCAGTTTGAATGTGAACCCCAAGTGGACCAGAGAGCGCTCCAAAACCAGAAAGTGGACTACAGCGCAGGGCATTCTGGGTAAATCCAACCTAAGCTAACATGCTAGCGTAGCGTTAGCAGCAGAAATGGCTCCTGGTCTTCAGCCAAAGACTAAAGAGAAATCACTAAACTCTGACGCCTCCATCTTGTTTCATCTGGTGAAACAGGAAGTTGCTCTCAGTGTCTTCAGAGGTTTTAGTGTCGTTTCCTTCAGTGGTTGTTGGTGCAGCGCCCCCACAGGCCAGGAGGGGAACAGGCTGCTCAAAGAACAGAGAGACAAAGAAGCACATGGCACAAATGTTTCTGTTTTTCTTTCTAATCAAACTGATTCTGCTGGACTCTGAGGTCTGAAAACATCCTTAGATGCTTCAAGACACATAATTTACTGAAATCCATGTATTCTTATGCTGTAGAGATGCAAGGCGGCTGAGCAGAGCCTTGCACATCTCATCCTGTTCTTCCTCTCCTCCACCTCTTCATCCCTCTTTCCTCATTTTAGTTGTGCTGGAGGCGCTGACACATTTCTGTTTCTATTTTTTTTTTGAGTTATGACATAATCTCAAAAAATTGTGGAAGAGGAAAAGAGCTCCGGGCTCTGTCTGTCTTTGACACAATCGTTCACATTTCTCCATATTTGGTTATTGAGAGGCTTTGAATGTGAAACGCTGTTTTACTTTTTTCTGCATGATTCACTGAGAGAAGCAGAAGATCCTCTGCTGCCTCTTTGCCCTTCACTGTTCCTGTTTTTTACCCTTTCCTACACTCTGTCCTTTCATCTCCATTTATTATTTCTCCTCTCCCCACTGGCTTCCCGTTGCTCTTCCTCGTCTCTCCTCCTCCTCTCTTGTCCGTGTTATCACTTACTCTCCACCTGCACCTTTCCTCCTCTGTCTTCCTCTGGATCTTGGTTTTTGTGGGGGCTGAGTGAAAATAATTAGCTGTTGCATAACACTGAACAGGACTGCGCCGGTGATTCGACAGCTTCTGTCTCCAGGGACAACTCTGAACCAGAGACGGGAATAATTACATACACGCATGAGAAGATGTGCCCTTTTTCTTAAAATTAATGGGATCTATCTTGGGGTTTTATTATATGTTTCTCCATTTCAGCCCCTGGCGGAGCTGTTGAATGTAATGTGGGGCTCCGGTCGGAGCCGGCTTGGTTTCTGCACATGGAAAGAATGAATAAAGTGGTTAAAATACAGTAAATAAAAGAAAGCAGTGCATGTGTTAAACGGTGAAGTGAATGATGTTTATGAGGTGAAGCTCCCAGCAGGCTGAAATCACAAGATAATAAGATGGATTTTGTGGTCGATATATGTTACGGTCAGCGTTCTGGCAGCTGGGATCTGATGCAGAACTTGGTTCTGAAAGGCATGTATGGTATGCAGAACATTTGGGTGAACTGTCTGGAAGCCTCAGTGCGGGGGGGTCCGCCTCACACCGAGAGGACGCTAGCTTTAGCAAAGCTTTCTGCCAAGTAATTACTGAGGAGAGACGGGCTGAGTGTGGTCATGTTGCGCAGGAGAGAACCTGCTGTGATTCTGACTGAAACCTGAAACATTTTGCAGAAGAATTTACTATTTATTTTCTGGGACAAATGTATGAATGCAAATAAAAATATTAGGTTTGGTTTCAGCAGCGCATGTAACACAGTAGCAACAGCTGATCAGAAGAGACTGTTAAACTGTCTTTGTTAATTTCTAACATTGTTTATTAGTATTTATTATCTAGAAATCTATAACAGACAAAGATCAACCACTGCAGGAAACGACACTAAAACCTCTGAAGACACTGAGAGCAACTTCCTGTTTCACCAGATGAAACAAGATGGAGGCGTCAGAGTTTAGTGATTTCTCTTTAGTCTTTGGCTGAAGACCAGGAGCCATTTCTGCTGCTAGCGCTAGGCTAACATGTTAGCTTAGGTTGTATTTACCCAAAATGCCCTGCACTGTAGTCCACTTCCTGCTTTTGGCATTCACATATTTTGGCATTCGACCAAACCCAGTCCAAGGTTTGGAGGACCAGAGGTCAGAGGTCGATCAGCGTGCACACCAAACAAACGAACCAGACTTTGACTAGACTCAACAGAACTGCTGTGAACGAACCTTTAATCTGTTACTTATCTTTCCGTTTAAGTTTCTGTATCTAAAACCATTTTTTACGAGTCAAAACTTGAAGAACTAATGTTGTGTCAACAGAAACACACAACGTGCTTCAGCAGAAAGACAGAAACGTTTTCAGTGTGAAGTTTCCGTCTGAACTCATCTTGTCACACTTGATGGTCACTCAACCATCTTGGCCATCATAACTTCATTAGTTGCTTCATTCATGCTGTTGGTATTTATGGAAACCAACACCGACATGCTGTAAGAAAATGAACTAACTGTTTTCAGGACAAACCCAGTGTATGTCAGTTGTTTGTATAATTGGTCTTCGATGTGAACTCTGGATGGTGTCTGGATCCTCCAGTCGCAGGGATTCAGTTGGAAACAGAGAAGAAGAAGTGTTTGTGTGAAGGTTTGGGTTCAGGTGTTGGTTCTGAACAGCCGGACTGGAGCGATCAGGCGGAACAGGAGATGCTGACAATGTAAATCCAGGAGTTGTGACTGATTAAACGGTTTCTTTTTGTTTATTTCTGCCTCTTAGTGCGACACACAGACTTTCACCGGGTTGCAGAGTTAATAAGCTCCTAATAACTCAGCGACACACTAAATGGAGCCTGGGGAACGAAGATAGACAGAGCTTGAAAAGTGGAAAATTGCAGGATAGTGAAGGTTGTATAAATGTCATGCATTGCGAAGCTCCAGCTATATTTAAAATTGAAGAAGAAAACCTTGACATTTGGAA